CGAGAGGTGATGCGTAAGGAGACATTAGTTCCACTATCGTTGCTGCATAGAGCCACGGAGGACACAGAGCTTGGTGGCTACAACATCCCCAAGGTCAGTTAATATATGTATCTTAGCAAAGTGCATATTTAAATCAAATGCGAACTTATTAATTAGAAGTTATTTATTGCAGGATACAATAATGATTGTGAACCTGTGGAGCTTCCATAATGATCCTGATTTTTGGGGTGATCCTGAGGCATTCCGCCCCGAGAGATTTCTGGATGAAAGGGGGCAGCTGCTTAAGAAGGACTACTCCTTGCCTTTTTCAGCAGGTGTGTGCCGCCATATTGCTTAATACAATCAAGCATAAAAATATAAAACCACATTGACCACTCTTCATGACTGTATCTTTGAAAAATGAGAGCGTAATTTTTCTTTTTGGCTGTCATGTCATGTAACATTACAGTATCAATTTTGATGATTGACAGGACTGTGATAATTACTTTAAAGTCATGCCTTGATCTGTGTGTTACTTCCTGAATTAAAGTGAAGACATAATCAGTCACATGCCAGTCCATCCATAGGGTTGCTACAAAACATAAGAAACGTCTGACTAGGTCCTGATGATGTCTGATGAATCAAAGGTGAAGCACCCAAGACTGAGTTACCGTTCCACATCTTATGCCTGTCACACAGCAAAGTGATCAGTCACACAAAACATGTGATCCAATAATAATGATATATGTCCTTGCCCACGTGTCAGATATAATTTAATTGAAGAGACAGATTGTGTGGTTTACAAATTTTTGGGATTTAATTTGCCTGTTGGAATGGACCAGGCCTTAGAAATCATACCCAGCACACTAGTATCCATCAGAACGTTCATGATGAGATGTTAAACTAAGAATAGTGTGAAAAGAGGATACTGGTTGCACCCACTTCACTAAATAAAATATTATCAACCGTGATATACTGAGAAGAAAGATGTTTTCTCTTACGGTAAACATCACAAGATAGATGTGTGGCTGTAGTCTGAGAATGTAAGTGAACAGACAGATCTCTTGTGTCACATTTTGCATTTCACTTATCACATTTTGTGTCTTATCACCTTGGTGATTCATTCATCTCAGACGTCAGTTTACTTTAATCACCTGCTGAGAGTTAATTTATTTTGGGCATTAACCTAATGTGATAGAACTCTAGCCGCATTTTTTAGACATCTTTGAATATCGAAATCTTCCATGAATACGGGCCCACAAGATCCTTTTGAAAACATTTTGTTTCTTCACAAAAATGTATTTCTCATTAAACAGCTTCTCAATTATATTAATGCAAATCGAAGGACTGGTCAGGACATACATTGTGCATGAGATAAATGGCATGGCACGGATACAAGGATAATATTAAAATGGATCTGGGGCAAATATGATGTGAGGATGATGAGTGGATCATCTGTTTCGTTGGAAAGTGAGGAATTTATTATTCAGGTGAGTAATTGTAGTTAAGGCCTATAAATGTTGACACTTGACTTCCTAAAACTGCATTGTGCTTTCTTGTCACCAGGTAAGCGTCTGTGTGCTGGTGAGACATTTGCCCGCCAATTCATCTTCCTGATTCTGTCAGCACTGCTGCAGAACTTTACTGTGAAGGGTGCCCAAGGAAAACCGCTGCCCAGCACAGATCCTGATCTGCCAGGTATTATTGTCACAAAGAAGGATATGTGGATTCGGTTTGAGCCCAGGTCTTAAAGTTTCAATACACGAATCTGTAAGAAAGACTTCCAGTGGATATGCAGATGCCCTCAGGAAGCAATATAATGCGAGGACAAGGAACATGACATCTTGTCACACCAATGTTTTGTGACACACAAATTGGAATAACCGCAAATCTGTAACCCATTAGATCAAGGACGTCTTATACAGAATTGCTCCGAAGAGTTAAGAGAGAGAAGATGTTAGTTTTGTGAACGTGTGCAGAAGAGGAGCTCACGGACGTTGGTAGTGATAAAATATGATGTGGGAATTTGTTCCCCTTTTCGTTTTGATGTTCACATTCTGATATATTTTGTTGTTCTTTCCCCGAATATGCTGAAGACAATGTCTTTGGGTGCCTCATGCAAACCTCATCTTTCATTCCTAATCTAAACACTTCCTGAACTAAACCACTACAAAACAATAATATCACGATTCATTCTATTGCAAATATAAAATTTAATTAATAACACCAATTCAAACACACTAACAATGAAGATAAAATGGAAATAATTTCAAAACACGTGACAAATATGTAAAGCGTTTCGCTGAAATGACCTGATTTGCAGGAAGATGGCTGCTTGAGCTTATATTGTCAACTGCACCCAATCTAACTAACTTGGTATTGGTGTGAGAAGCACAATATTTAATTTGTTACGTGGCTGTATTTGGCTCCAAGGAGAGTTGGAGAGAGGAGGGATTGCGTTCTCAGTGCAGCAATTTTAAATAAAAGGAAAACTGCAACCTAACCTTAACTGAACGCTGACATTTAAGTGGTTGCTTGACTACACAACCTGTTTAATAACCAACAAATCAAAATAAAATAAAATTTGTAAATTTCGGTATCCCATATGATCAAAATAAATCTCATTAAATAAAGTATAATATTCCAAATGTATCCAAACATCATACACTAACCTACTTTAACTGATTTGCACATCATCTCAAATCGATTCCACACTCACGAATCACACTCTGGCCTGATAATGGAGACAGCAAGGAGCTCTGAAACGTCGGATAACTTCTACCAGACTGCACAGCACTACAATCCAGACGACAGCCATCTTCGGACTCACCGCCTTGAAAACCTCAAATCCTACAAGATATGCCTCCCCTTGTAGCAGACGACGCCATCAATGGTCTGCAACAGCTCGCTCTGGTTGTCGATGCGGAAGACGAGAGCGTTCGATGACTGAAGGGAATCCACAGAGAACAAGTGCAAGAAGGCGGTAGGTTAACCACGTCACGTGGGGTGAATCCCCACGTGTGGTCAACCTGCTTAAGGAGTAGGCTATAATTTTTAACTTGGGCGTGTATTTGCATATTTCTATATTACATATTCAGGAGAGACGAAAAGGTTACGTACTCAAGACTGCTGAATGACTACAAATTAGGCATATTTACACCGACTGAACACATCGACAGGTAGGCTAGAAATCGAAAGGACAACATAATAACAATTAATGCACTCACAATATCCTAAACTGTGGCTGAAATTATTAAAGTGTCAGTTGTTACACTGGACAAGGGGCAACTTGCGTTGGTAAATGACTACATTTTATTTTTTATCATGAAAGATAGTACGAACATACAAAAGGAAGACTAACAGAGATAATACAAGTTTGGAAACTTTTAAGTTAGCAGCTGATGAAATCTCTTCTGGAAGAATCTCGTTAAGGCAAAATGCTAATACATGGTGAAAATGTTTGAAGTTTGTTTCTGCAATTAATTGTTAATTGGTATAGTGCCTGTAATTAATTGCTTAATAAAGGTAAATTGTTCCTTCTGTTTACTAATACAGTGTGTTGTAACAACTAGCACCATAACAGGGCACATTGTTACAAAACGCATTCTCTTAAATAAAAAAAAATTGTGATGAAAGAAAAATGAATAGGCCTTTGAAAAAATGTTTTTAATATAGCCAAATAGTAGTAGTACCTAAAGCCATAATTGCTAACTTTGTAAATTTTAAGAGTAAATGTCCAAAATTCGTAATTGAAAATTGTAACAACTAGCCCCAGTCTCCCCTACAAACTCGCTTAGTGTAAATATGACGGGTTCACAGCTGGTTTCTGAGAGTAGGGCACGTCCATAACGGTGCACGTCGTGCTCAGTTGTAATGCGGGCGGAAGGATAACTGCTCATGTAACTAGGAGCAAGCTAATAAACCAATTAAAGATGCAATTAACTACTGACAGAAACAGAGTAATGGACTATCTAACTAATGATGAAAATAAACAACCAACCAAGTTATTAACTACAGCAACCATCACAACGTAGCTAACGGGACTTCAATGCAAGATTTCAATCTGGAATCGAGAACTGGATGTTCCCTTGGGGTATTTTTTATTTGTGTAAGTTCCTGCAACGCAGATAATGAACTACGATTGCTTCCCTCATCCTGTCATTCCACAATAAGAAAAGAAGTTGAAACAGAGTTCAGGAACGAAGTAACTAACTGAGAAGTCAGCCAGCAATCCTGACAAAATACTTCCTAGATACAAAACTTTATTGTTCAAAATCTTTAATATCAATGCCAGCTACTTCACTCGTACTGAGTTAGTTCAGCCCAGTTCACGTTCGTAAACAGATATTCTTGTGAACAAGAAATTCTGGGGATCATCTTTCTTTAAATGCTTCGATCTGAAAATATTTACACATTATATAAACTAGTCGTGTACAACCTGTAACACCTACCTCCTGCTACAGGTTACGTTGGTAAGCTGGATTACCATCAAAATTTTCTTTGAACTTCAGCATATCTAATATGCAAACGTAAAATAAATCTCGAATATTTACACCAGTTTTGTCATATTAATACTATAATTGGTTACTTATTATTTATTTAGTGTTCTGTCTGACGACAGGTCCATATGAACAGGATCCTTCCATCCTTTTCTGGGATTGGGACCTGTTCATATACGTTCTTGGCAGATGATCCAGAAGTGGTTTGCCATTGCCTTCTTCTGTGTGTGAATGGAGTAATTGTTGGGATGCCACGGAGGAAAACTCCGTGTTGCCTAGACCACGGCCTCGCCCAACACAAGTTATAA